GCTTAGCCAACTAGCGAGGAGAATATCAAAATGTTTACAAGTAGCAAAACAGTGAAGAAGAGAAACATATGGTAAAGCACTCTGAAAATCAATGCACTAAAATATCCCTAATAACTAATATTTTGAAAATGAAGCTGGAAACAGAAAATGATATTATTTGGACACCAACCAAAAATTGACATAGAAAAAGCAGACGTCGGGAAGTAACAGCCTGTAATGAAAGGACCAAGGCATTGACATCTCCGGCCCATCGTCTGTTCATTTTTCAGCTTGCAAGCCACAAATCAAGAAATAGCTTCCTAAGATCTACAGAGATACATAAACACCTCAGCAAGCAAGAGTCCAAAAGTGGCAGGTAAAAATAGAGAAACTGAATCAGTGGCTGGGAACACAGAAGATTAGGGGACTTGGAAGGTGCTGAACAGATTGCACTCTGGCACCACGAGATGCAGAGCCAATCTTACAAAATGGAGTCCACGACATGCGAGTGTGGAGAAGAGCAAGCCACAGGCCTCTTACTACAACACAGTCTGAGCCCTGCCTCTTACACAATGGAGAGCCTTATTACAGCAACACCAGAGACACTCCAAGTGCCCAGCTTCTGGTCAAAGAGAATTTAGTATAATGCCAAGTTTTTAACTTTGTGTTTTTTTTTATAAATTATAACTGTATTCTCAAATTGCTTCTGACACAATAAAACAAATAAATAAATAACTCCACCTCCTCTCCTGTTTGGTCTATTTCTCTGAAATAGGTTACACCCCACCATTGCTCCATTCCAATTACAAGGCTCGTTCCACCAGGTTTCAGTTATGCTTATTACATCGCAACTGTCTTGTTGTGCTAAGAGTTCTAGTTCATCTTGTTTATTTCTCATGCTATGGACTTTAGTGTAAAGACATTAAAACCCATGGTAGAATCACCCTGGGTTTTTTAGCTGCCACATCACTCTATTGACTCATGTCCTGCCTGTGGTTTACGAAGATTCCTTGATCCCTTTTGCATGCATTGTTTACAAGCCAGGCGCCACCCATCCTATATCTGTTCTCTATCTATCTATCTATCTATCTAGCCATCTATCTATGTTTCTATGTATGTATCCATCCATCCATCCATCCATCCATCCATCCATCCATGCATATATCTGTATGTCTGTCCATCCGTCTATCTGTCTTTCCATCCACCCATCCATCCATTCATCCAGACATCCATCTATCTATCTATCTATCTATCTATCTATCTATCTATCTATCTATCTATCTATCTATCTATCTATCTCTATCTATCTATCTATCTATCTATCTATCTATCTATTCATGTATGTATGTATTTATGTATGTATCCATCTGCCCGTCTGTCTATTTTTCCATCCAGACATCTCTCTCTCTCTCTCTCTCTCTCTCTCTCTCTCTCTCTCTCTATTTATTAATCTATCATCTACCTACCTACCTACCTAACTACCTGACTATCTATCTATATCTATATCTATCTATCTATCTATCTATCTATCTATCTATCTATCTATCTATCTATCTATCTATCTATCTATCTATCTATTCATCCAGCCACCTCTCTCTCTCTCTCTCTTAATCTATCATCTACCTACCTAACTACCTACCTATCTATCTACTGGACTATCTATCTATCTATCTATCTATCTATCTATCTATCTATCTATCTATCTATCTATCTGTTCACCCATCTATCTATCTACCTACCTACCAACCTACCTATTCATCTATCTGTCTGTCTGTCTGTCTGTCTGTCTGTCTGTCTGTCTATCTATCTGTTCTTTAAAAAATCACTGAATGGATTAGTTTTCCATTCCTTTGCAAGCAGCTGTCACCAACCTCCCTGGCAATGAGGGTCATGTCTCTTTGACCAGTCTCGGCATGCCAGAGAACCGCTCCTGAAAACCCACAGCTCATTTCAAGAAGCCAACAGCCCACTGAGCTTACATATCTCCTGCCCTGGGGAAAGAAGACTGAACACCCGGCACAGGCTCATCCATCACTTCTTAATTATCTCCGAACACATTCCACAAATGGTTGCCTCCAGCAAAGGGCAAGGGTGGAGAAAATGTGAAAAACCACCACCTCCACCATTACAAACCTTTCTTTTCGTAGTCAGGCTTCTCTCCGCTTCGGCCCAAGCTGTCCAGCTGCCTCGTCATCTGGGCGCTGAACTCGTCCTCTTCCTGGTAGCCATGCTCAGGATGTAGGGGGTTTTCTTCCTCCTCGTAGTCGTAGTCATCCAGGATGGGGGTCTCGCGGATGGGCATGCCAATGACCGAAGTGTGGGATTGCAAGCGTGAATTCCGGAAGCTGTCCCGACCCTGGGAGCCCAGAAGCACCGACGGGATGTAATGAATCTCGTGGGTGGCTTCTGTACTGGCGCTCTTCTGCGGGATCCGGCGCTGCTTGTACCAACGGCGCTGGGCATACAAGGCCACCGTGAAGACCAGCAGCAGCAACAGCAGAGCAATCAATCCACCCTAAGTCAAGAGAAACAGACAGATGTCAGTACAAAAAAGAAAGAATCATACAATCCTAGAGTTGGAAGAGACCCAAGGGTCTTCCAGTCCAACCCCATTGCCATGCAGGAAAACACAATAAAAACTCTCCCGGCAGATGGCCATCCAGCTGCTGCTTGAAACTCTAGTTGGTTCATGTTTTGTTTTTGTTTTTTTGTCATGTCAGGAGCGACTTGAGAAACTGCAAATTGATTTGAAAAGCGACTTGCAGTTGGTTCATGTAACTGAAAAGTTAATTATAGTGGAGTTATATTGTCTATGCCTATTAGTGATGATAGTATGGCAAGGGCAGTCAGGAGTTGGTGACATCTGATTGGTTGTTGGGTTTTCATGGATATGTAGCCTTTGCAGTAGAAATGTATCCATTTGAGAGTGGCTAGCAAGAAAGGGGTGGAGCTAGATAAAAATAGAGGGGAACATTTTAAAAAGTAGAGAGTCTCAAGCCAGGAGGTAGAGGGAAGAGGATCAGTATTTAAGTTTGTAGCTTACACTGAAGTGTAAGTTACACTGTAGTTACACTGAAGTAATGGAAAAGCTAATATAACTCTAAATTATCAGTTAAGTAGAACTCAGAGACAGAGATTCCTTTGGGAATAAGTTTTTAGTCAAAATATTGATGGAAGAGAGTGACTAAAAGTCTAAAGTTAGCCAGCCAGGAGGCTGAGGAGAAATATATTTTGAAGGAGAAGAAAGTGGCCTAACAGAGTAGAAACAAGTTAACTGTTTGAGAGTTAAGTAATAATAATTTTATGTACTCAAAGGAGTGAAAGACAGTTGCAATAATATCCAAGTGGAACTGAAGTAAAGTACTTTGTAACAGATAAGCTTATGTGCCAAAGAATTCATAAATAAACATTTATTTGTTTCAACATATATATTGAAGTCCCGTGTCAAGTTACAGGACTAAAGTTAACCGGCTGAAAGACAGTCTGTGATTACATTGAGGTAACGTGTGAGGACAATTGGAAGATACATATTGACTCCAGGTTTGGATTATACATAGAAGAAATATACACAGACATACAAAGATTGCACCCTGTAACAAACATATTAATAAAGGCACCACAGAGACAGAAAAAATATGTTCCAAGCTTGAACTACAGGTCACTGAGTTGTGAGGTTTGATTCCTCACTTCCCCCGCAGGGGCGGCTCGTCCATTACGCGAAGTAAGTGGTCGCAGAACACTTTTTTTTGCCAGGGGCGCAGAGGCGCTTCTGTAAATGCCCCTCGACCGCCACTTGAGGAGCGCCCCCTCGGATCACAACAGCCCTAGCAGTCCGGGGGGAGCCTCGGCTTTCTTGCCTTGCTGCCGGGCGATCCTCTTCCCAAAGGGGCCGGGCCCTTGAGCCTTGCCTCGCCCCTCTCGTTCCTGCTCCACCCGGCCACCGGGTGCACTAGCAGAGCCAGCGCTCAATCGTTCTCCGCGTTCAATCCCTTCCCCATGACCGGCTCCCTTTCCCGATCCCCTGGCGCTCCGCCCGCCTCCTCTTCTCTCCCCAATCCACGAGTGGGCCAAGGGGCGGAGCTGCCGTGCCTGGCCCGCTTCGGGTCCAGAGGTGTGTCTGAAGACCCTAGTGTGCGCACCAAAAGTCGCCTCTTCTCCTGACTTTCTCTTCAGCCATTGGGACCAAGAGAGAGAGAGAGAAAGAGAGAGCCCCTCCGGCTGGAGGTATCTCCTACCTCGCTCCCTCCTTTGTTTTTGCACCTACTTTCAGGAAAGGTGGGCATCTCCACCTCTCTCTCTCTCTCTCTCCTGGTCCCAATGGCTGAGGAGAAAGTCAGGAGAAGAGGTGACTTTTGGTGCACACGCCGGGGTCTTCAGGCATGCCTCCGACCCAAAGCGGGCCAGGCAAGGGAGCAAGTGCGGCAAGTGTAGTTACTGGGATGTATAGTTCACCTACAATCAAAGAGCATTCTGAACTCCACCAATGATGGAATTGAACCAAATATGGCACACAGAACTTCCATGACGAACAGAAAATATATATCAATGATTGGTGGGGGGGGGGTCACCAAAATACAATTTACTTACCGTTGAAAATTACCTAGGGCCGCCTCTGTTCCCCCGTATCACCTCATTGCCTCGTGTGTATATACATATATGTTCTATGTAGACAGGATGGGATATCCAAGGCCTTAGTATAGTACCTGCCCTGTCGGACCTTGATGTGACAGTTCATAAAGAGAGATATGTTTGGACAGTTAAGTAAAGTCCTATTAGGGCTTTATAGGTTTAAGCCAGCACTTTGAATTGAGCCAGGTAGCAGACTGGCAAGCAGACTGTTAGGTCAGCAAGGAGCTGACGTAACAGCATGGATTTACGCTCCCTGGTCGTTGCTCCAGTGAAAAATTGGATGCCAGTTCCTGACAGTTCCTTCTTCTGAAATGCCATCTACAACACCTTAAATTCATGGGCAGTCTCCCATCCGAGGACTATCCACTGGGCTTCTTACCTTCCAAAACCAGATTGGATCTAGTGTCTTTAGCAATTGACCCAAAAGCTCACCAGAAGTATATCCTTTTCCTATGATTTTCAGAATACAAACAAGGAGTATCATTAACTAAATATCAGAAGTACTTTCCACCTACTATAAAAAAGGGGGGAGCCAATCTACAAAAGACCGAGTCAATATGACAAACTGAGCCAAGATCCTGTAAACAAGGCAATCCTTCGCATGAACAGTTGCCAAGAAGGCTCCTAATGACCTACGCAAGTGCGGAATCAAGAAGAATGTTAGTTTGCCCGCCTTTATTAGGATACATTCTGCAAACTCTGCGGAACTGCGGCGCTGCATTTAGGGCCCGTGTACTTATTGATTTGTGTATTTATTTCCCTTCTTCGATAAAGCCAGTTCATCTTTCAGCTCCTCATCTCCCATTCGGGATCCCGACACTCTAAAATGGAAATATACACAAATGCAATTGCATTGGCAAAAGAAAAAAAAAACTGCATTTGGAGGGTTTGCTTCAATCTGTAAAAAAGTCCAGTGAAAAGTGTTGGGAATGAAAGAAGGAATATATATATATATATATATATATATATATATATATATATATATATATATATATATATGCTCTGTGCATAATGAGTACCTTAAAAACAAAAGAACCAATGGATGAAATCATGCCAAATCTGGTAACAACAGAAGGAGTGACCATCACTCAAAAAATTATGATTTTTTCATTTGGGAGTTGTAGTTGCTGGGATTTATAGTTCACCTACAATCAAAGATCATTCTGAACTCCATCAACGATGGAATTGAACCAAACTTGGCACACAGAACTCCGATGACCAACAGAAAATACTGGAAGGGTTTGGGAGTTGTAGTTCACTTACATCCAGAGAGCACTGTGGACTCAAACAATGATGGATCTGGACCAAACTTGGCACAAGCACTCAATACGCCCAAATATAAACACAGATGGAGTTTGGGGGAAATAGACCTTGACATTTGGGAGTTGTAGTCACTGGGATTCTCAGTTCACCTACAATCAAAGAGTGTTCTGAACCCCCACGAACGACAGAATCGGGGCAAACTTCCCACACAGAACCCCCATGACCAACAGAAAATACTAAAAGCCATCCAATCCAAATCCCTTCGCCAGGGCAAGAAAACGTAATCAAAGTCCTCCTGACAAAAAGCCATCCAGCCATAGATATAGATGATAGATAGATAGATAGATAGATAGATAGATAGATAGATAGATAGATAGATAGATGATAGATAGATATTATTCACACACAGAGATATATAGTATCATAGATTTGAAAGGGACCCCTATAGAAGGACAATTATATGTTGCACGTTCCAAAGTAGGCAAACCAGACAATCTCCACATCAACACTTACAAAGAAACAGCAAGAAATATTGTTTACCCACAAGCATAAAGAAATTACATATATTAGAAACCAACACTTTCTCTTTATTTTCCAGATCAACAGACTGGGCCACAGCAACGCGTGGCAGGGGACAGCTAGTAATAATAATAATAATAATAACGGAGAAAGATGACACAATATGAGGATTTAAAGATCGAACTGCAAAGACTCTGGCACAAGCCAGTCAAGGTGGTTCCAGTGGTGATTGGCACACTGGGTGCAGTGCCTAAAGACCTTGGCCTGCACTTAAACACAATTGGCGCTGGCCAAAATTACCATCTGTCAGCTGCAAAAGGCCACCTTACTGGGATCTGCACAAATTATTTGCCGATACATCACACAGTCCTAGACCCTTGGGAAAGTGTCTGATGTGATCCAATACAACAGCCAGCAGAGTGATCTTGTTTGCTGTGGACTCATCTTGTTATGTTTCAAATAACAACAACAACAACAACAACAACAACAATAACAATCATCATATTTATTTATACCCCACCACCATCTCCCCGAAAACATTATGGGCAGCTCACAAAAGCACTCCAAGTGCCACATATAAACAAGAATACATAAGTATACACACCCTAACATAAGTATATAAAAACAACACCGCACATTGAATCTCACTAATAAAAAGTGAAAGAATTATAAAATTTCCTAAAACGCAAATAAACTACCTATCTGCAATATCGAATCAAGGTGTGGAGTGGCATCTTGGAAGGAAGGAAAGATAATATTGATATCAAAGACCCCCAACTTCATCCCTAATAAAAAGAATACATAAATTGAATCCTGTGATTTATAGTTTTCCCAAGGACGGAGGACCTGATTAAATGGATGCTTCCTCTATCTCCACGGTCTCCTTGGGATCTCCCAGGCATCCCTCGAGACTTAGAAAACTACCAATTTTGGCATCAAAACGAGAAATATATTATTTGACAAAGTGTCATTCCCAAGCTGATTATTTCTGTCTCGGGGCTTTTTCCTCCCCAGACTTCCGAACAATGGCTGCGTCCTGGCAGGAATTTAGTATTCTAAGGCTGGATTTATAATATTCTGTTCGGCAGTGATAAGGATATGGGT